AATTAGTAGGTAGTAGTTTAGGGTCCGGTCCCCGTACGGTATTACTTATAGTAAGTAGGACGAAGGTAAAGTAAAAGAAGATAAGAAAATAATAATATAGAATATATATATATATATATATATATATATATGTAATAGGTAAGACTTTCTGATGAATCTCCATTGCTGAAAAGAAGCAGTATCTAATAATTAAATGATACTGTGGTACACTTTCACTAATTGTACAGATACAGGGTGGTTCAAAATTATCTTTCCTATCTTAAAATTTAATTATTTTTTAAATAACTAAGAAAATACAACCATGCAGTTTTCAACATTGTGTAGCCCAACTCAAAAAGTTTTTATTGTAGTGTTTGTTTTTTTCACTCCATTGAGTAGTGTTAACACATAAAATGGCAACCATGCAAGAACAGGCTCAATGCATCACTTGGCTTGCAGAGACCAAGTCAGTAATTGTGGTGCAGCGTGATTACAGATACCAGTACAGGAAAGAAGTATGGGGATATGTTAAAGATATTATGTATTGCACCACTGTAACAGACATCAAGGAGCTAAAGACCAAGATAATGGACACCATTGCCACTGTACCAATGGGAATATTGCAGCAAATGTGGACTGAAATCAAATATTGGTTTGAGCCAATAGTGGTGCACATGTATAAGGGTACTGACATATCAATAAAAATTGTTTGAGTTAGGCTACAAGATGTTGAAAACTGCGTGGTTGTATTTCCTTACTTAGTTAATTATTTAATTTTAAAGTAGGAATAATAATTGTTGACCACTCTGTAGATTCAATTACTTATTAACATTGAAAGTTTTTAAAGTAAATGTTACATATGAATTTTTTAACTTATAAATTTAAATAGTAGTTAATTTTCATGTGTAATTTGTAAAGTCCAAGAAACATGATAATTTTTCATGGCTTATAGATTTTGTTCTGTTGTCTCAATAATTTTATCTTTTGTAATTTGCAAAACATGACATTATTATATCAGTTTTAAATTTCTGTATTTAAATATGCTATATTAACATTTAAGTATAGTTTTGATATTCCTGTCTTTAACACTAATGCTGATGAAGCATGATCTCTACAACCAATAAACTATGGTTTAATTGTTATTGTGCACTTTTTCTTTTTTATTGGAAATCTATATTAGTCCAGCTGAAAGTAGGATGTTAAAAAAATGATTCAGGTATTCTATCAAAAATTTAATTCTATATAGGTTCATCTAATTCTCAAATTTTTGCACAAGCTCTGCTCATCTACTGGAAAGGTTTGTTCACTTGCAAATAATTATGACATTTCAAGTTCAAGAACTTCAAAATTTTAACAAACCAGTAAATAACGTTTGGCCACTTCACCAGTTAGTTTTTGCATGGTGTGGGTATGATATCATATTATTCGTTTTAATCATCTTTAAATACAAATGTACTCTAAAAACTTCCACTAAGAAAGCTTCATGCACAAATATTGTAAACATTCCCTGTGGCCATAGTGTACAAAATGTTTTACACAGAAAAAATATATATACCATTGCTTTGTAATTTTTTAAATATTGGAAAAATGATTTTTTAAAATCCTGAATATTCATTCTTTTACCTAAAATAATGCTTGAAGTAAAAACTGTTTTCTGTAATTATATCTGTTGTTGTTCGTTTTTGTAGGTGCGGGTGTAGGATACATAGTTAAAGGAGGACCTCATGACCTAAGTGAACCTGTCATACCCAACCCACCATTTAAGTATAAAAAGTATCCATACATAGGTAAGTCTTGTAAAGTATCTGGATTGATAAAATTATTTTTTAACATAAGTTTAAAAGTAAAAAGTAAGTGTTTGTAATACACACATATAGAGGATGAAAGAACTGTTTCTCAGAATGCTTATACACTACAAAGAAAGATATGCTGTTAAAATATTTGTCAATATTACTGATGTATCCAAAAGTTATATTTGAAGGAAAATTTGCAATATAATGATGAAGCTTCTCATAGAAAATCATTTTCTCAAAATATGTTTTAAGACCTTTAAAAATAAGAATGTTAAAGAATAAGATGTGACAAAAACTAGAAAATATAAAAAAAAAATGATATGAGAAAAAATGGTGCAGTTTAAATCTATAAAACTATAAATCATTGTAGATATTCATATTTAAAAGAAAAGCAGTATATCTAAAGGTATCATTAACATGGATGTCTTTCTTTTAGGCTACTCAGTAACTACAGGGCACTTCTTTGGTCCTAAAAGCACAGAATCAGTGGTCTTGGGAGCCCCAAGAGATGCCAAGGCTAATGGAATGGCAAGTCATTATACATAATATTTTTACTAATTTATAAAATTGCTTTTGGAACATTGTACAAAGCTTGTTAAATACCTTCACTCATCATTGTATTGGTGTCTTTGTGACACAAGACTTCAGTGACTGAATTTATCTGGTTATCAAACTCTTAGAAAATTAAAAACACTTTATGTAACTTGTTTGTTAGGCCTATTGTACAAGCTATTTGGATAGGTTTAAGTCATACACCATTCACTAAAACACAACTTAATTCGTTAAATTACATATATATTTTAAAGCTTGGAATGGCCTGGTGGCTTGATTGGAATTCACAGGTCACAGTTTCAATCACATCACCAAACTTGCTCTCCCTTTCAGCCGTGTGGGCATTATAATTTTACAGTCAATTCCATTATTTGTTGGTAAAGAGTAGTCCATAAGTTGGCAGTGTGTGGTGTTGAAGAACTGCCATCCTTCTAGTCTATCATTTCAAAATTATGGATAGCCTTCAAGTAGCTTTGATTGAAACTCAACAAACAAATAAACTGGTATATATTAAAAAAAGAAGACACAATGGAAATACATCATCTGTTAGTTTTTTCATCATTGTTTACAAGCCTAGATCACATGCTAAATTAAATTGTAATTTAATATTTGAAAGAATAAGCAAAATATTCCTCTTTCAAACTGACATTCCCTGGTTGTGTATAGTAGAGAGAAGCTCAGAAGTTGTTCTTATAATCAAACATGGAAGTGTTTTCATAGCGATGGAACCAATCAACTCCATCCTGGAGATGAGTTTCCTCTGGTGCTGTTATGTTATGCCTAAATCATGTACCATTGTTTCCTACTGTGAGTACATAAAATATGAGAGTTGGAAAAACTAACTTGGGACCTGCATTCTGTAATGTATTCAAATATTGTATAAACTATGTTATAGTTTGACTGGGTAAATAATACTGTATATACTAGTAATGAATAAGAAATAAATTTAAATTTAATCCCCCTAAGTCTACTAAAATAGGACATTAATTTCAAGCAACTAAGCCCCAACCAAAAAAAAAACACCATACATTTAAAACACACAAGTAAATATTGAGTATAAACTACATTATGGAATCAGTAAAAATGTAATTAGTAATAGAACTCAGTAGAGAAAGCACTGCATATATAGGGCAAATGAATAAATCTAGATAGGAGTGGTAAAATGTAACTTAGTAGGAAAGATTACTATGGTATATTGTAGAAACAATGCTAAAATGGAGATATACTGTTTATTAGATTTAAGTTCTATTTAAAAATTAGGAGCAAACATGGGAACTCAAGTCAAAATATCTCATACCTAAAAATACTAATTTACCATTTGAAACCAGTATAGTGGAAAATTACATTAGCTTCTTCTAATTTTAAAAACACAAAAGCATAAAATAGATTATAAAAATGCAGGTTTTGCAGAAAGGGTTCTGTATTACATTTATGTATGATATCAGTAATTTAAATTGTGAAGTCTATTTTTTCAGTATTTTAATGTATTACTTTCCTTCCAGTTTTTTTAGAATGATTGAAATCAAAGAAAATAGTTAAGGCAAATTAATTGATTACATGATGCATCATGTTTCATGGCTTATATTTTCTCCATTGCATTAAAATGTGAACATAAACAGATTAAAAAATTGCTGCTCACTGATCCTTGAAAACTAATACAAGCTATACTTATATAATTAAATGATTAATTTTAAAATGTAATTTCTTTGTGATTTTTAGGTTTATATCATCGATGGACATGATTTTTTATCTTCCAAAGCTTTTACAATACAAGCTAAACTGGAAGGGAAACAGGTGAGTAATTAATTGAGGAAAGTTGAAGAATAGCTTTAAACATATCTTGTGTCTCCTGTAAGTAATTAATAATACAAATATAAAGTTTGTTCTTTGATCTGCTGCACAATGACATGAACTTGTCTAACATATATGACAAATCATTACATTTAAGAAATAGTAACTTATAAATAAATTGCTAGTTTCATAAACAAACTTTGATTAAGTTATTTTAAAATATATAGTGAAATGATTTTTGAAGTGTAATAACACTGTGATTACTTACTATAATATAGGTTTTAAAATATCTAACAATTACAAATGATGTATCTGAACCTAATAGTATTATTAGAAAAATAAACTGTATATAAAATAATTTGGTTAAAACTAAGAATAAATAACATTTATAACTAGATTTCAGTATGATGTGAATTAAAGCTAGCTTGACAAGTAAACATAAAATATAAGTTAAGGAATAAAGATACACATCATAAGCTTACCTGCCTTGTCATTTATATAATTTATAATTTAATGATTGTGTTATGGTACAAGACAGACTTGATAAGTGAGGATAAGTGTTCAATATTTTTGTTTTTTTGTATAATGTCTAACACACACTTTATTATTATTTGTGACAATTTTAGAGAAGGAAGTATTAAAGCTGTATTCATACTGTTGGTTGCATTATTTGTCAATGTAAAAACAATTGTTAATATGACAAATATTACTGGAATTTACATTGAAGAATTTGATCCAGATGTTTTCCAAAGTGCATGAGCCAAATGTTTTATAATGTTATGAGGAGAGGTTGTTTTATTCCCATGTATTTAAGTATTAAATATTGAAAATAGTTAAGATATATATATTTATATTGCACTATTTTACACTGGAATGTAGAGTTAATTCGTACATTAATAATTTTAGGAAATTTTTAATATCTTTGCAAGAATTCATTGTTCTATCAGTATTAATTATTGTACAAAACTGTTTCCTCCAATTTTTACAGATGGGTGGATACTTTGGATTTACAGTTTTAGCAGTCAATGTAAACAATGACTCACATTCAGACTTACTAGTGGGTGCACCTTTGTTTTCTTTAATAGGTGCCGGTGATGAAGGTAGAGTTTACCTTTATCTTAGTGATGGAGTGGTAAGATTTTGTTTTGAAATTTTACCATATACATGTGTAAAATGTTATAGAATGCTTATGAGATAACCAAAATTGTAATTTGGTGGTTCATTCCATTCATTCAATGTATGTTGTTTTATACTTGGCTGGTTTGGTGATCTTATATCAGTGTGTTCTGGATTCTAGTGTTCTCATTGTAGAAAATTTAATAATAATGTAACTCTAACCTGATGATGAAGACTCAATACTATGGGTGGAAACATTGTAATTATTAAATTAAGCCCTGCCTATTGTAAAAGTTGATGTTATTTTATTTTGAATTAATTATTCAATTCAGTAAGTTCGTCCCTGAATATTAATTATAAAGATCAATTGACTAATAATTCTTGTTACCTCCACAGATTATGGAGTAAGAAAATTGAGGTTTCAGAGTTGCTGATTTAGAATAATGTGAAATATAAGTTGTTTTTATTGACTGTATTATAAGGTAAATAAGTTAAAGTATTTTATATAATGTCTTCCCTTTAGACAATGGTATTCATCTAATGTGTGTGTTTTAATAGTAGTCTGTAACATTTTTCACAAACGTGATGTCTGTAACATTTAGCCAGTACTTCAGATTATTGGTTTCATGTTATATAAAAAGTTTGTTAATGTATATTTATTTTTGTTGACATGAATCTTTTAGAATAGATTATTTCCATTATTTGTTTGAAAATAAAGAAGGTTAGATGGCTCTGATTTTAATTGCTAACCATCAGTTGCTTTGTTGTGTGTGTGTTTTTTAATGTAATAACTCTGTACTTATTTAAGCTAGCAAAATATTTTGGCTACAAAATATGCATCTTTTAAGTTTAATACTGATAAGAACTATTTATGATGTTCTTTGATAATGTAAGATTCTAACCTAGAACTGAATATGTATGATATTTAAAAAAAATGCACTTACAGGAAAGTAATGCTACATTTTCTGTGAAGTTGGACCTATAGCCCTTATATATATGTATGTTGCAGATGTTGTAAAATACCATTAAATCCTAGCTTTAATAATTTATAAAATTTATAGGGTCTTCAACCTTCACCAGTGAAGCTAATGGGTTCAAAGTCAGTTAATTCTCGGTTTGGTTCTGCTATAGCCAGAATAGGTGACTTAGATCAAGATGAATGATATAGAGTCCTGAAAAAGTACATGTAGTTTGGTTTTAAATTGTAACAAGTATTTTCTGAATGTTTCAAATATTGAGATGAATATCATGATATAGAAAGACAGAAAATAGTTATCTTCATTTACAGGTTTGTCAATAGAAAACAGGAAAGCTTAAAGTAAATAAGTCTAAAAGCTAATTTTAACATGTTGAAACAACACAGTAAAAAGTTAAGATGTATAATAAATTCTTCACTTTGGTAAATATTTTCATGAAAATCCAGTGTTACATACACAAAAATGCTGAGAGAAACATGGCAACCTCCACATAATTGCACGTTAAGGAAGTAAGTACCCCAGAAAAAAGTCTTACACTATCAAAATAATGTACTTTGGTTACCTAAGGATATCACAACACATAATAAATAAATTACTAGAATGAAGAAAACACTTTTCCTGCTCAGGTATTCACAACAACAAAATTTATTTTTTCTATTTATACTTGCAACTAGGTTAACCATTTATAAAACAATAACCTGGATTTCAGTGTTACATAATAGTTACACATTCCACTTACCTTCATACCCTATTAAAATGACAAATATTTTGCTGTGACATCTTCATCAGACGCACACCTACAGTGATACAGCTGGTTTGTTTAGGTTATAGAACTGTTAAAGATTGGAAGTAACAATGTTGTTGTAATATTTTTGAAGTAATTGATCATTTGATATTTAATAGATTATTTTACAATGCATCATTATACTCCAATCAACTTTGTCATAAGAGAACAGGGTGGCCAAAATATAAATTGGCTATAAATTGTGAAGAAATGATACTAGCAATTTAGCAAATAGAGAGAAACTGAACTTAAATGAAGTTGAGTGTTTACTTGAATTAACTCAGCCTTTCAGTAATTGCTTCTAAAACTATTGTTTTCTGCATTTTCTTTTGAAATAATTTTAGTATTGAATCATGGTGTTTTTCTGTGAACTTCAAATAAATTTACAATATACTTACCTTTATATCTGTTTGATCTCACAATAGTGTTTCAAACACTATATATATATATATATATATGTATATGTTAGAGGTTGATATGGGTAGAAAATCTGGAACTCGATACTTGCAGTGAAAGTACCTGGGAACCCAGGTTCTATTTGAGTTATTAAAACAAAACTTTAATTAAATTGATCACAAATATTATCTTGGAGGAGTCACCTGTTTTAACTATTTGCACTACTATACTGTAGTGTGTTGTCTGTCAGTCAGTCAGTAAACACTAAACTGACATCACACTAAGGACACTTAAAATTGCAGTTTGTACTGTCATGAAATCAGTAAAACGTATACATGCCATGAATCTTGAGAAGAATTATGAACTCTGTAGGCTACAACACAGCATGATATATGAACTTCAAAAGCAAGAAATAAAAGTGTTTGTTACTCTTAATATTTGTTTTATTTACTCTTAAAACAGAACACTTTCGGGGACCCTGTGGAAGTACATCTATTATGTAGTTACATATATCACTTCTGCTTCCTCTTTTCAAATCTGTAGATTGTTTTGTGTCTTTTAATATTTAAAATGATGAAACAATAATATAAGCACCTCAGATTGAGTATATTTGTAAATTTTAAATGCTCTCCATGCTGTAGGATGTTTTGCATCTGTGGTGTATTCAGGTAAAACTGTATTAACATTAGAGCAGTGGGATAGGTCTCCATAAATAACAAGTGATTCAACAAGATATTTATTATGAAGTAGTGCTGAACCTCTGAGTAAATGAGTCTGTGAGAATAAAATAAAGGGATTGTATGGAATATAAATTACAGATAAACAACCTTTATTATTTCACAAACACAGTGTGCGAACATACTTTATGATCACAGAACAGTTGCTTCTACTGGATCAGGTTATTCCTTTTCAAAACTGATCAGGCTAAGATCATCTACCAGACTGTCTAAATTGAATGTTCCTTGCAACATAGATAAGTTAAGTTTGGATTTACTCAGATTGGCTAGTGCCACCCATGTGACTGTTCATTTTCATTAAAACTTTTGAGAGATTATAACCTCAAAGTGTCACTTGACCTACCATTTTAGGACACTGCTGTCTACATTTGGGTGCAAGTTCAGCATTACAGCCATGATTTCATGGGCAGAACAGGTGTGACCTCAATAGAGTGACAAGGAACAAAGACATCTAGAATGACATCAGCTTCATGATTTTACTAACTATTTGTTATGTGAGAATTGCATGTACTCAGAAATAACTGATATATACTAATAAACTAAGATAGAAACTTATGGTATATCTATATACCACACTTTCCTCTATTCCCTACTTCAGGCTTTTCCTCATGCCCACAGTTAAGTTAAACATTAAAACCAATAAAATGTAAACTTGTGCTTTGGTCAAGGAGTGGGTTAACTTTTTCTCACTCCTATAAACAGTTGCATGCAATGTAGCTGACACAGCTCTTAAACAAATAACAAACTACAAAAGTTACATCAAATTATCCTTTAACTAAGAAGTATACCAAATTACAAAAGAAAAATATAAAACCTTTAACAAAGATGAAAGTACACACACTGCAAAAGCCCTTTAACAAGAAACTCTCAATAATCATATCAATTGACAATTTCATAATAATATGAACCTCTAACAAATAAATTTAATACATAATAAAAAATCCTTTAACTTTGATATACAATACATACTTTTCACATTAAAAGTCAAAATACTCTTCAATGATGATCAGTAAGCAATAGTTATGTTTAAAAAACTTTAGCACAGACATCACAGTTTGAGACATAATAAAACACACTCTTCAAAATAATGAACTATGCCAAATCATAGAAATTAGTATAAAAATACAAATACAAAATGAACCTTTTAACAAAGAATGCTGAGGCAATAGTTATATAAAAAATACTCTTTACCAAAGATTAATTTCAATGTTACATGATAAATACCCTTTAGCAAAAATTAATTTGAAAGTGAAATAACACATAATAAATACTCTTTAAGAAAGATTAACTAATATGTACAATGCAAGTACTACATGATAACAAAGAAGACTTTGTAATATAAACCATTTAATATAGAAACAGTATTCATAGCACAAAACTGTAAGATTACAAAATGAAACTGCCTTTTGACACAATTGAATGGAGATGTATATTTGACATAAAATCAATGATAAAACGAAAAACAACCTAGAATTTGTAACAATGAAATCTTAAATTAAATCTTTTAATATATAACATAATTACATGTTAATACTCTACAAAGTACAAAATCAATTGTTAATTAAAAATACAACATCCCAATACAAACACAGAATTCATGCCCAGATATTGTTTCTGTACCTCAGTGGCTCAGTGGAAAGTCTAAGGGTTTATAACACTAAAATTGGGTTTTGATACCCATGGTGGGCAGAGCACAGATACTCCATTGAGTAGCTTTGTGTTTAACAACAAACAAACAAATTATATTGTTTTAAAATGCAAAAATGCATGATAAAAATAACTTTTAAACACTGACGAAATATAAGTAATGCTATAAACATATGACAATAAAAACACTCTTTATCATAAACTAATTAAAAATATGTGAAAAGATTACAAATTATATACAGCAAATTACATTATTAACTAAAAAAGGGGAAAATATCTCTTTGACGAAAACACTCTTGCATGAAAAAAATATATCTTTTATTTGAGGTGAATTTCATCTTGCTTGATCAAATGATTATTAGTCAACAATTATAAATGGAAAAAGAAACACACAGTACATGGCACTCAAATGATGGTACCCGACAGTGAGCAGGCAGTGTCTTCTTAAGTTATGCTGGAAGTTGAAGATCCAATAATATGGTTTTGGGAGGAGCCATCGGCTCCCTAGATTCCAGGGTAAGACAGTCAGCAACATATGAAATCAACATATTGGAGGATCTTGCCAGTAGAATATCATTATTCAAAGGTTCAAAATCAGCATTAGTAAGAACAAGAAATCAAAACAGGATGCTATTAAAAGACTGGACGAAATGAAAACATAGTGTACCTGCTTACACTACACTTCACAGCTGCTTCTTTCAGATGTATCTAGTTCATCTGTCAGATTGACTGAATGCAAGTTTTCTGAGGTTCAGAGAAAACTTTATTTACCCAGTGTGACACATAAGCTACCACATACTGGTCATTTTCATTACACAAGACTGTTAGTGTAAGAGTTATTATTTAATTTGTTTAGTGATTGAATATTTAATTATTATTTAGTTTTCATAACAAGAGTGTTAAAAGTTAATTATTTTAAAAGCTATAGTTATGACAAATTTTGTTACATAACGTAGTTCTGTGTGTAGATCAACTGTTGTAAATTACATCACATCACATGAACCTTCTGTGTTTTTCTCATTGCCTTAAGTGAGCATTGTAACATCATAGCATCTTTAGTTTGTAGAAAATTCTAGGCCTCAGTTGGGCAATGTGTATATATTTGCAACCAAGTGAGCACAAGCAAAGTTAAGTCAGAAAATGTTAAGTTAGTGAAAGTAAAGTTAGGCATGATTGTTAGTTTAGCCATAATAACAATATTTAAAGTGAGTTTCACAGTGGTATTATAATAATAGAGATAAAGGAGAATAATTTGTCTTGTCAAAGAGCATTCTAAAGTAATTAAATCCACCTGTGTAGACTTTGACGAAAAGGAGACAATTATTTAAGTTTCTGGATGCAACTGTAGTAACCCACAGATTGTATAGTAAGAAACAGAGTAGAGAAAAAAAAATTGCTTTGTCAGTTGGGTTCTAAAGTAACTGAACCAATCTGTGTGGACTTTTGACAAGAAAAAAGAATTATTTAGAGTTTTATATACAACTGTGATATCCTATAGTGTAAAGAATTTTTGTACATACATTTGACTTGTTTTGAATACATAATTTTAAAACAAGTGGACTGTGTGCAGTTCATTTATTGTTCGAATTTATCACCAGCAAGTCACAGACGCTTGCTGTAAAGAATCCAGCTCCATGTAAAACCTGAAAACAACCATTGTGTTTTTGTTGGGTGTTTCAGAAATGTTATTGTATCACTGACTCTTTTAAATTAACTATTTCTTTCATTAACTTGGCTATGTAATTATTAGGAGCCTCAATATTGTTTGAGACTGAGCTCTATGTGAAGCAAAAAGCTTTATTAGCTATGAATATTACAACTAATTTGAGCATTCTAATCATATTGTCAGTTTGAAAGAGCTTTTATGCTACAACTCATCATAATTATTTTATTTGGAAGTTTCAAACCATTATACAGAACAGAATATATGTTATGAAAAAAACATATACTTTTTTATGGTAAATGATTAACTTGTGTCTTAAAAGTAATCATAAGCATTTATGTGTTTGAAGGAATATAAATGCATAATGCTTGCAGATGTTGCCATTGGTGCACCATATGAAAATGACCGAGGAGCTGTATATATTTATAATGGTTGTCCAGCATCAGGACTCAAACCTCAATACAGTCAAGTAAGAAACTGATACTTATTAAGTGGTTTTACAGATAAAATGTTAGATTTTATTAATCCTACAAACAATAAGATAATAAGTAGTTTTATTAAATTTAGTGATGACTTATGATTAGGTAAATAATATGTTTATCCCTGCAGAAAAAAAAAGAGTCAAATTAATTACTACTTATAACGTATAGTGAAGATGATCTTCAAAGTTTTCTTTACAATTTTAGTAACTTTTTAAATTTTAGCATTTTCATGAAATTGGAGACATATTTTAACTTAAATCATTACCATGCACAATGTTAGCTGTTTACTTTATTATCTATAACATGATTGGTTGATGAATTATATTGTTTTAATATAAAGACTGTCATTGTAGCTCATTTTTAGGCCATACTTTTCTAAAATATGTGATTATTTATCTTGTGATAGATGTGACTGTTGTTTGAATAACTTACAATGGATGGAAGATGTTATGCATTTATTGTGACAGGCCTTGCACAGGTTCATTAAAACAGATAGCTTTTTTATTGTATTATGGTTTTGCCAATACACAAAGGTGCACGAGGAAGCTTTGCAAATGAAAAATGATGACTAAATCATTTTATTTTGTTTATTGATTAGTAGCAATTTATGTAAGTTAGATTGGATGAGCTTGAGCATTTAAAGAGACAGGTCTCACAACAAAAGTTCGATATAATACACAAAACAAATAACTGTGTCAGACCTGTTGTTTTCTATTCTAATGCTCCCACTTATAAATTAGCACAGTAAGCCCAAAACATTTTCAAAACTCTGACTGGTTTTAAACCTAAGTTTGATATAAAAACTCTCTGGTAAAATGTAAAGATACCAAATAATGCCAAAATTGTTTCCTTTGATGTTTGTAGTCTTTTCACCAGTATACCTGTTAACAAATGTAAACAATTTGTAAGTGATTTAATGGATAAAGAAAAAGTAAACCCTGTTCAAGCCCAGGAATTAAAAACAGTAATAACCACTTGCTTAGATTAGAAGTACTTCAAATTTAATGACCAAATATACAAACAGAATGATAGGTTAGCTATGGATTCCCCCCCCCCCCCCTCTCCTTTGCTTGCAGAAGTTTTCATGGATAATTTAAAGAAGAAATTGTTTAATAATGAAAATAATTCAAAAAATTTTAAACACTGATGATGTGGTTTGTCTCTGGGCAGGATCCAAATATCAACTCTACAATTGTGTAACCTTTCTAAATTCAAAAACAAATTTATAAAATTTACCATGAAATTTGGTGAAAACAGAAACAATAATTTTTGGACTTAAATATTGACATAAATAACAGTATACAGTTTAATTTAATTTTAATGTTAAAAATGTAGATTTTAATACCCTGAAATTATCCACCTGTTAAAACATTTTTCCAAAAAGTCTATCTTTCTATTTCATTGTTTGAAATGATAACTCTTTATATTTAGATAAACCAACCAATAACTTTTGTAATGAAAAAACGTTAATTACTGCTTATTAACTTATATTTCAGCGAATCTTTGTCTCTGAAATAGCTGGAGGGCTCAAACTGAAAGGTTTTGGCATTAGCATTGCAAAAAGCATGGACATAGATGACAATCTCTATCAAGGTAGACAGAATATCTATATTAGTTTATTAGTTATTTATGCTACTGTGAGACTTCTTTTTTTTGCAATGATTCAGCAGTCATTATTTTTAAGGTAGCCAGACACAATACCTCATGAAGCCATTGTTTCTATCTCAAGAAATAATAATTGGGGTGGTTTTCTGTTGCCTTATTTATTGATGCAGTTTCGTATTCAACATATATATAAACAAACAAAATGTGCATATTGTTAGGAATATGGGATGTGAACCACAATCCTCTGGGTACACAGTCTGCCATGCTGACCACTAAGCCATGTGTGGCTTAGAATTCTTATGTTCCTTAAAAATAATTGAGTATGATAGTGAATATATATAAATTGATAGTCACAGTGGTTTAGGTTCCATATTGTGTCATTACTTATATTCTATTCTTGAAGCTGTAGATACTTCTGTAAAAGAAACAGCATTGCAGAAAGACTTATGAAATGCTACAAGACTGAATGTAAATTTATATAAATGAGTATCAAAATTTAGGAGAAGAAATACAGATGCTCATGTGGAGAGGCAAATCACACTGTTCATCATTTTGTTTAGATGGACAGGTCTGGGTTTGACAACAGTGTGAGTGAAGGATGCTCTGGATGTGTTTGTGTTGTTCCCTCTGTGTGGAATCACAGTTACTGTATAGTAATTATGGGAGCCATAAATAGCTTGCCTTTTTGTGAAATTCTGGACAATGTTACACTATCTGCAGTTTATGAACTACATTTTTAGCATGATGCTAAACTATACCAGCAGCAGTTTGAGGTTAAATGACATTCTTGACCTGTGTAGGATCTGTTTTGAAGCATTTTTAGTAGGTGCTTATGTGAGCTCATTTCAGTTGGATTTGCTTCACAAGGCTAATTTTAATTTGTTTCATTAATGTGTAACAATGGCTGATGGTAGGTATTAGTACCAGAGTGAAGTTGTGAGCCCATTCCCTATTACATATCATTGCAAAACAGAAGAGTGTGTGTGTGTATATATTCATATAACATACACACACAAAGGTGTATATTACTTGAATATGAATATCCTGAAAATATTGTTATTTTTAAGTATTTAAAAACCTTTTAAGTGGGTGAGTTTTTTCTATGTTATATTAGTTATATTAGGATTCTGGAATCTTCCCTGTAACAACACCTTTCCTGTCTCTTCTGAACAAACATTAGGCTAGAAGCTCAGTTTTTTTCTACATTTGTATATGTGGTCTTTATATTTAATAGTATTTTAGTTTCTTGTTTTTCTTACAAAATGATAGCACTTGTTTTAAATTACACATCAAGCAGCCACTGAACTTTGTAAAAATTATTTAATTTGAGAAAGCAACAAAACATTGAGTTTTGCTTTTTGAAAACATTACAGTCAGTTTGGTTAACTTTGTTACAGCTAAGTAGCAAGACTATTGATTTGCAAGATACTGTAATCATAAGTTAATTTGTTAGTTTTAGAAATTTTCAGTTATGTTACATTTAACTAAAACACCAGTTAAAATATAATGTGAAGGTCAATCCCACTATTTGTTGGTAAAAAAGTAGCCCAAGAGTTGGCGGTGGGTGGTGATGACTAGCTTGCCTTACCTCTAGTCTTACACTGCTAAATTAGGGATGGCTAGTGCAGATAGACCTCATGTAGCTTTGCACAAAATTCAAAACAAACAAACAAATTGATATATATATTATTATATCTTTCAGATTTGTTGATTGGAGCACATGAGTCTGGAAATGCTATACTATTAAGGTAAGTTTAAATGTAAAACATAATTGGATCTTTTCTTTTTTTAACTTTAAGAAACAACCTTATCTCTTTTGACATTGCTTTTGTCTGCAGACTTATATCATAAAAACTGGGTTTTGATACCCATGGTGGACAGAGCAGAGATAGCCCTCTGTGTAGCTTTGTGCTTAATGACAACCAACAACAACATTGGTTTGGAGATTATGGTTTTAGACTTTCTGTTATCATGCAGACTTGTTTCTTTTGCTCTACACGAAGTAATGTTATAAAAGGCAACATAATGGTGCTAAATATTTAATTACAGTTTGTGTACATGTGTATACAATTATTTGTTACTGAAAATATAGCTCAATTAACCAACTGCATGTGACTCTTTTTCATCCATCTCAACAAAACTTAAATGTAAACAAAATTGTATTATTTTTTGAGATCAGCTATTATTTCACATCAACTGCATCCTGCTAACTTAATATATGCCATTGAATTATTACTTATAAATTAGCTAAGTTTATATTTCAAGCAGGTTTTATTTTACTATGCTTCAAAAAAAGCAATGCAGAGAAACTTTTTAGAAAAGTAAAAGATGAGCTTGACCAAAGTAACTTTGAAATCACCAATCCGATACCACACAAGTAATAACCTGTGATATTGACAACCAATTCACACCTGCCTTACATGTTTAATGGCATCTGTAATTAATAATATTTTATCACATATTAATGGATTAAAATCTATATTCTTCCCAAGTTTTTAAATAATTTTATTTTATATGTGTTTTTGCAGGTCCATGCCCATTGTCAGAGTTGAATCTGAACTTAGTTTTGATAAGAATCTCTTGGACACAAAGAACATGAGTTGTTCATATAATAAAAGGAAATATTCTTGTGTAGAGGTGAAGTTTTGTATTCGATATGCAGGTGGCAGCTTGCAAGAAACCCTGGGTTAGTTACTTGTAGAATAAATGTCATTGTGAAATGTTGATTTTATAGAAGAAAACAACAATTATTGTGACTGAGTATGGTAGTGATTTTAATATAAATACAAATTATAACATGTTCATTTTAGGGTGTTAAATTAAAATTACATTGATACAGTTAATTCATGATTGAAAGACTTAAAGAAAAAAAAAGTTTCATAACTAGCTACCAAGATTTCTGGAATTTTCCTCTTTCTATCTTGTTGTATTTATGAATATATACATCTCTTTCTGGTTCTGACTGTTATTGCTTTAATTAGTATAAAATAACAGAAATGTATGAGAGGACGATGTTTCGAAAGTCTTCCACCTTTCGTCTTCAGGTCAGTGTGTGTGTGGTGCAGTTTGGTCTTCTAGTGTTCTAGTGGATTGTAGAGAGCGAGAAGACTCGTGACAAGAATAAAGGAACATAAAGACAGCACAAGACTCATGAAAGCACAAAATTCAGCCATTGCAGAACACACCATGTCAACTGAGCACAACATAAACTGGGAAAAAGCTAGAATCATCGACACAGACAAATTTTGGAAGACAAGAAAAATTACAGAATCGTTTTACATTAACACAATAAAATCTTCACTAAAAATAGGTTCAGGATTAGAGGTGAGTAAACAGTGGCTACCATTGGTTGAGGCTACAGGAAGTCTCTCCTCCAATCAGAAATGTGTTTTAACCAACCAGTCATAACATGCTCTCCACAATCCACTAGAACACTATAAAGACCAAACTACACCACACACACACACACACACACACACACACACTGACCTGAAGACTAAAGGCAGAAGACTTTCGAAATGTCGTCATCTACATTTGTAGGTTTCTACAACAGACAGTTGCTGTTCATTTGAAACATCAAACATACTGTGTTTTCAGAGTTGCAAGTGTCATTGATGTCAGATACTAGACGTTCAGGGAGCATATCTAGGGGCTTTTTTGTTGTGGAAAGTCGGATAACACAAGATATTAACCAGACATTGTTTGTCCACCAAGACAACTGGTCATGTCATTCCTATGATTTCTACATACAGGTATATGAGATTGATGCTTTTTCAAACCTTTTTATTTTATTAAAAAACAGAGGTAAAAGTTTAATAAAGCTGGGAATATTTTATATATATATGTTTATGGATCAAAATGGCAGCTTTATTGCCACAAATTAGAATAATATGCACATTATTAAGTTGGCAAAATGACTAACTTTGGTATTGCCATATATTTGAAATTTTATTTAATCAATAATGTGAAAGATTATGTGCATTATGTCCAATTTTGGTTTGTTTTCCTGATTAAACAGACATCATAAAATTAATTTCCGATTTTAATTAAAAATTGACTTTTATTAGATATCTTTGTCAACATTGCATAAAAGTTATGCAAATGGTGCAATAAATATTACATCTATTATTTTAATGCTCTTAAGTATGTTACTGTTAACATGTGTTTACTTATTAAGGCCTTTTTTCATACTTTATTACTTATATTGAAGTTCTTATTCGTACTAAGGATTTCATAAGTGTAATGCCTTGGTATTAAGTATACTTTTACACTATCTGTATTCTTTCTTTGTTTTCTCCAGAAAAATTTGACGGACTTCTCTGCTGTTGCATTTCTCCTTTCACATAAATTGCCTCAAAAAAATTCTGATTCATTTTGTAAGAACTGCCCTATTATGAGCAAGGACAACCTCCAATTTGTAACAAAGAAAGTAAGTAAAAGTTTATGTTATCATAAAAAACTGCCACAGGAGTTTTGAAATACATTGATCTAAAGTAATGTTTATTCCTCTGTATGGTCGAGGGAGAAGAAGCATTGTTAAGGTTGAACAGATGAATCTATACAATATTTATTATATCAGATAATCAAAACTATGTTGCTGTGGTGAGTTTATTAGCATATCAGCTAAATACATCATTGCACTCCCCCTTTCATTCTAACCTTCAAGCACAGGAACTGTAATTTTTGTAATTTACTTCATTTTGTAACAATATATTGAAAAATATTCTTGCTTTCCTATTGTTGTTACATCAGAGGGTTTTGATATGGGTGTGGCTTAATGTCTAGAATATTCTTTAATGTTTAGGAAACATTTGAGCCGTATAAAAGTCAAGTTTACAGTGTATGATTGACTATTGAGTTATCAAGATTTTCAGTCAATTTGCTGGTTAACAACCAATTAGCCAGTTAGCTCAGTTGTTTTGTTAATACAGAGCTTGTTTTTTTGATGAAATAATAAGAGGCATGCTATATATTTTGCTGCCATAACATGTGACAGTTTAAAGCAATCATCTGTACACAAAGTAAAATACAATACATCTATCCCATGAAATGGTGAACAGCTTCTGTGATCGGAACCTAGTAGAAAAACAACACTACACGCTAAGTTCAAGATGTGTCCTTGCCTGGATTTAGTATATTCCAAATTAGAACATACAAAACTTTTTTAGTTATATATATGTATTTACACTGAGGAGAGCAAAGTATTTAGTATTTGCACACTACATATAAAAGTGGGTGGATAAAGAAATACTTGCACCTAGGAAATATTCTTATCCAAACTTGTACAAAGGTATATCTTAACAACGTTACTTGATCCAGCTGGACTGATGGGAGCTTATATAACGTGAAATTACAGTTCTCATTTTTCATGGTATGAGTTTTATATTCAAACTCAGTTTAAGATGTAAATTAGTATTCCAGTTATTTGGGATATGTAAAATTTTTCTTTTATAATCCTGGAATCATGTTTTTTTTCAGTGAATTAGTGGCTTGTTCACTTAGATTATTAACACACCAATGATTAGTGTCGACAAATTACGTGTTATATTACACTATAATGCTTAAGTAAAAACTTGTGAAACATATGTAACTGCTTCCATGTTGAATCTTTATTCTTTTTCCTTTCAGATAAAATTTTACACAGAGTGTGAAAATGGTGTTTGTGTCTCTGATTTAACTCTATCAGCCAAAATTTTGAACTACCAGTAAGTTTGCTAAATCCTTTTGTTTGTAAAATAAAAGAACTAGCAAATTAGATAACTAGAACATATAAGATGAAGTTAGTATACACACAAGTTTAAGAAGTATTTACCTAATCTTTGGTATGACTTACATTTTGTTTAATAAGCGGGATAATAATAACAATTTTGTTAGCTAAGAATGTATATTTGTATATTTTTATAATTTAAGGAAGTTTGCATAAGAAGCTGTCGAATTTGCTTTTTAAATTCTCCTTTTTAAAATAATGAATGTTGTGCAGTAAATGATATATTCTTTTTTAAAGTTATAAAGTACCAGGTATATAATATAAAGTCATTTTGACTCATGATGATTTCCAATATGGCTTTTAGCCTACCAGATCTTTTTATCATGTGTCACTGAAAATACAATTCAGGCTTATTTCTGTTTATGTACGTGGAATATGTGAAAATTGTTAAGAAAACGTTTTTTTTGAACACTAGGAAAGATAAAGTCTTAATCATTGGTCAAAACACCAGCTTAACTCTCGAAGTTCAAATAACCAATCAGAATGATCCAGCATATTATACTGAAGTGTTTATCAGTCTGCCTCCAGATATTTCTGTAACCAATCAGGGTAGGTGTAGCATTCTGAATGAAGAAAATAAGAAAACTTTACAGTGTGATGTTGGGAATCCATTAATTGAGAGCAAATCAGTAAGTATACTAATAATTTTCATAATTTCTCTATTACAAAAGTTTTCCAGTAAATCTTTTCTTTACAGAATTAATAGGAAATTAAGATTAAATTGTTGAGAAGAGTGAGTGTGTTGACTTGAACAAAAACACAGACATTTTGATAGAAAATCATTAATATAACCCAAATGTATTGCTTTATCTAAACATTGTCAATACATTTCTTTTGTGTAAGACTAGCTAAGCTGTTAAGTGTTTTTTAAAGCAACTTTTATATAAGACTGGTTAGACATTTAGTACAAATATAAAACAAAGTTTAACTAAAAAAAATGCATAGGATCATAACTCGATGTTTGCAGAAACTGTGAATTTACTTCTCTCTGTTTTTAATTTTTTTTCTACTTTATGTATGAATAATTATTTTTTTATTGTTCTGTATTTACCATAGATGGCTTTTGAACTTCTGTTCTGTATTTTAGATTGACTTGTGTAAAAACAGAAACCACTAGTTTGATTTAATTTTTTACCTATAATACTTTAGTAGACATTTAGTACAACAACATATTAAGAGCTAATCAAAGTTTTAAAAAAGATCTAATGTTAGGTCATAGAACAAAAAATACAAGTTTATTTATTGATAGTATTAAGTATGGTAAAGTTCAGCCATAAATAAACTAAAACAAAAAAGTACACAATTTACAGCGTTAATTTATCTCTTTATAGAATATAGGCTATACTTAATATAGGCTTAAGTAATATTAGGCCTAAGACAAGTGAACTTACATATTGCAATGTCTGTGATTAAGATTCTTATATATTATTCTAGAAATCCTATATTTAAAGAAGTACTATTACAATAAAAGTATTAATTTGACCACAAATGTTTTGCAGGTCTTTGCTAGTTTATAGAAATTTTACCAGGGTAATTATCAGTATTTGTGAAATTACAGTAACAATTTTTGAAAACTGCCATGAATGTATTTTAAGTATTTGCAAGTATTCGTAAGATATTCAAAAACCTTTGTATTTTTATTATTCAAGTTGGATGAATACTAATAAGTGCAGTTTATCTGTTCAAATAACAGTTAATGTTTTCAGATGGATTTTTTATAACACCTCCTGTTTCATTAAATTTGCATTTCCTAACCTTATGTAATTACAATTAATTTATTTATGAGGTAAAAATGGTTAAAAAAAACACTAAGAAGAAACTCTGTGTTTCAGCCAAATGGCCTTCATTTGGACTGTTAATATTTCTAGATGTATAAGTGCTTTGCTGGGTGATATAAATTTTAGAGCATTTGGTTCAGATAGTAATGTTTTATCAATGTATCATTTTGTGTTATATTTCAGGAAACATTTCAAGTGAAACTGGATACTTCCAAGTTGACTAAAAATACTAAAAAGGTTCAACTTAATCTCAGTGTAACTTCACAGAGTAGAGAAGAAAGGCCATTGGATAATAAAGCTAATCTCACAATATTATTCACTGCTGAAACTTATGTTACAATCATAGGGTAAAACTTATATTTTCCTTTTCTTTCCTTTAAAAGTCAATATTTACCCTTGAAATTAATTGAAAAGTTTATCATTTTTCAGTAAAACATAAATGTATCTTATTTCATAAACACTTTAAATACACATTTAATTGATCAAATGTTATTTTAGAGCAATTGTTACTAGTTTGTGGATGTATAAAATTTGCAGTTTCTAGTAAATTACCTCTAAATTAGAAATTACAAAATGTGGCATTTTGTTATACCATTCTGTTGTGCACATGTATTTATGTTAAAACTTCAATGAATACAACAGTCATGTTAACCAAAGTATAGTGTCATATAGATTAGTCGTTTGTGTGACATATCATTACAATAAGAATGATGAGAATTTTGATCAAGTATTATCATATGTTTGTTTATTAATTATTAATATTAAATATTTTATTGACAGATTCACAAAAAATGAACAGATATTATTTGGACCAGGGCAGCCAGATAAAATATTATTCGAACAAGGCTATGTAGTAAGTTTTTATTTTTTTATACCTAGTTTTAGTTTAGGATTTTATAACCTTAAGTTTCAGTATGATTTAGAAAGATAAACATTATCATGCTTTAAGATTTGGTTAATTCCTGATACTTTTTTTTTTGCATTGCCGACAGTTTATATATCTAAGACATAGTTTGAACCTTAAAATACTGTTACGTCTCCGTTTGTTAATTGATTTTCCGTAACTTCGTTCCGACGAAACTCAAGCGACACAAGTCTTTACTTAATAAAACTGGTTTATTCTTTCCGAATATAACTTTATCGAAACACTCAACTTCAACAATCGCGCTAAAACAAACGCTATATCAACGAACGTCAATAATACTTCTGACTGCAGATCAATTACTCACTATCTACCCACACATTACATTCCCCTCTTT